AGCCTCCTATGGTGGCTCAAACTGGGCACTTGGCCTCGGGGCAGTCTCTGCCTGAGCATCACCCTGTGTCAGCAGAGTGCCTGAGATATGCGTGCTCCTGTGCTGGGAACCACTGGGGGCTTCTCTGCTTGTCATTCATTTTCTCTTTGTTGTTAGCTCATAAGCCTGTTAACTCATATTGATTCCTTTAATTTCCAAAGGAAATTGTTACGAGGTTAAATAGTACCGACACAGGATGTTTCTGACACACTTTTAATCCGTGTTTAACCATTCTGAAAAGCAGCATTGTGGTGTACTGGACCATGCAGGTAAAACAACCAAACAGGAAAAGGAACCAGTTAGCATTTTAATTGAGCATGTTACGATTTTTGCATACTCAAATTCAACTCCAACTTCTTCAAATCCATAATGCAAGATTTTTATGCCTTGATAGCCAAGCCCCCTGTCTTTTGCTCTCCTCCAGAAGCTTGCTGTTGGCCGCTGGTCTTGGGGCACGGATGGCACATCACTGCTGGGGCTCTGCAAGCTGGGGTGATGCACAGAGTGCCTGGAGGAAGCCTCCCAGCTGCCTCATGCCTCCTCCACGCCATCTAAAAGCGAGTCCTCACAGTGAGGAAAAATTTGGACTCGGACTTAAAATTTCATTAAAACAGTTATTTAACAGAAACTTGGCACAGCTGTGTCCACGGAGCTGCCTGTGGAAAGCAGATTGGGGTTTTTTGCTGGAAAAACCTCTGACAAATTCCAGAAGCTACAAATCTGTGTTTTGGAACTGGTGTTCCTGGATGATATTCATTTCTTTTGTCTTAGTTGTACTTGAGGGTGGCTCACGAAGATGCAGTCAGAGGGTGTAGCAGATGGTGTTTGATGTCTTTTGAGCCACTTTCACCTCCGGCTGGGGTTTCTTGTCTGTCGTATGTCTCCAAAAAGCCATAGCAGCCATGCAACGTACGTGATGTGTGCGCCCTAGCGTGACCTAGAAAAGCCAGCCCAGCTGAGGGTCTTTGTAACAATAAATTGGAGACTATAAATTTGGCTGGCCAGGACTCCTCCGCAGAGCACAATGGAACCACGCAGCCACAGTCTGATGTTAAACTGCTTCAGCAGCTTTTCCCGTGGTGCTGTTTGCTGTAAGTGAAAGGCTTTGAGTATGTGGGACCGAGATAAAACCACTCCGCTGGCTGCTTGTGAAACCTTCTTCACTGGCCCTTTGACAAAGAGCATTTGTTTTCATGCGGGTGGCCAGGCAAGCAAACAAGTACCTAAAATAAGATTTGGAGCTATTAGTGTTGGAGGTGTTCGTCGGCCTCTGGACCTGCTGCTTCTTCAGTGCAGCCCAGTCCTGTTCTATTCAGGGGATGTATTTTCCCGTGTTCTGTTGGAAATGTGTTTTTTCCTTAGGGTTTTGTGTTTTGATAGTGTCTGTGGCTTGGTTTGGGGTTTTATTTTCTTCTTTATTTTTTTCTTTAGCGCCCAGGTTTTTATCTTGATAATTCCAAAGACCTTTCCTTTCTAATTGCCAAAAAATGGCACATTCCCTGTAACCAGCAGCCTGCCAGACTTTAGGTGGGCTGTTAAAGCTTTTGGATTTGATCCCAAAAGCTGTGCATCTCTCCAGTTTAGGAATGATGCACTTACATTTTTCTGACAAAAAAGGAATGACGGTTTATTTGCTACATTATCCCATCACCAGAAAGGCAATAAAATACCACGAGGCTGTTGCTACGGTCCTTTTTGTTCACAGAACTTCTGTTGAAATCAAAGGGGGAGATTGGATTGATTGTGCTGTATTAGGCATGTGATGCCCGCTCCGGATTATTTACGTACGTATTCACCTCAGTAAAAATACGTTTCAACTAAAACACAGCAACCAATGTTTAAAAGGCCCCTGAAGGCAGACTTAAATTGAAATGGAGATCAGGTCTGAAGTCCACTGAAAACAGTGGAGAGGTCTGTATGGCTTCAGGGATTTCTGGATGATCCCTGCCCTTCAGTTGCTCTCAGATCCCATAGATACCAGGATGAATTCCTGCTCCTGTTTAAATTCATCCAAGCTGTGCCAGTGAAACCAGGGTTTAATGCCAGACTCAAAAGCAGCTTTTATGGCAGGATTGCCTCCAGCTCATGAGAGTGAGCGGGGTCAAGTCCCTGTTCAACTTCCCCGTTGCATTGAAGGGAGATGGTGGACTTCTCACCATCCTCATTGGGCTTTTGTTTCAGTTTCTTTTGTGGGAGTTGTTCTGCTTTCTATAACTAACCACTGGAGCTGAACCTGCAGCTACTGGCTTTACAACCAAGTTGTCCTAACCGTGGGCTGCTCTTGGTCTGTATTGGTTTGGGGGAAATTACTGCTTAAAGAGCTTTGGTCTGTGGTGATAAGGCAAGGGGAAGAAGATGTGAGCTGGGAAGCTGGCACAGCTGGACTCCTGTCTGCCATGGGAGTTGCCATCAGAGCCACTCGTTGCTGGGAGAGGTTATTGAGAGCATTTTGCAGCTTCCCAGGGTACCCCTTTGGGCAAGGTGCCTCGGGGCTGCTCAGTTTGCTCTCGCTTGCACGAAAGTTTTGGAGCTGCCAAACCAACACTGTTGAGAGCGTCACAGGAAATAAGTCACCGCAGAGCGGTGTTCCCTAAGGCGTGAGACCAGGAGACTGTGTCTGTTGTACTATCTTCATTATGCAGCAAGGGTGTCTTCCCACTGCTGCACATGCACCTTAATTTATGCTATATTTAAGCATTTTACTGGAAGGCTGGCTCTCAGAGGCTCCGAACAGCTGCAGCTCTGGCTGAATCCACTGAAGTCAGCTGGAGTCGAGGGTGGTGTGAATTTTCTGCCTTCTAGTTAAATCCCTCATCATCTTGTTGAAGTCCAACTTTGGCTGCAGTGATAACAACCTCTCTGCAGCAGCCAGGCTGGAAAACTCGCAAGATAGGGCAATATCTAAGTACTTATGCTCATTTTATGATTAACTTTTGGTAGCTTTGTTGATGAGCCGCAGAAGTATAGAAACAGGCAATTATGTGCTACCTTTTGGGTCATCAGCCTTCTACATTTGAAGGCTACTGTGTTGTGGGTATCAGATCCAGCAGGAGCATCCTGCTGGATGCTGGGCGCTTGTACACAACCTCCTACAGTGAACTGAATGTTGGTGGTACCCAAACCAGAGCATAGCAGCAGGGTAACAGCAGAAGGGAGATGGGTGTTCGTCTTCAAAGTTCGCAGTCAAACTTGCAGATGTGTGTGTGACAACTAAAGATCAGGCATGAAAACAGGAACAGAAGGGGGAAAGGCAGAGTTGGTGTATTATTTCTGTAACAGCAGAAGCTCACAGTTGAGTTTTGCGTGCAGGGAAGCTATGGTACACCCTGAGCCTTGTGGGAGAAGGCTGGTGCCCCAACCAGTGAGATGAAATTATGGGTAGGACACAATATATGTAATTATTTCCTTCTACAGTGGCAGGAAACCGATTACAGCCACGGTTCTTGTTGAATAGTGTCTTGCAGATTTAATGAATGCATTTGCTGTACCTGTAGATAAATCTTCATGAGGAATGTCGGTATGGGTATCTTCTTTGAGCGTTTCTGGAACGTGTCTGCTGAAAAGAGAGCGTTAAATTTGCATACTCAGAAAAAAAATGTAATTAGGCATATCAACGTTTTTCATTGGCAGAGAAGTAGATGTGTTGAAGTGTGATGGGTTTTACAGAATACACCCAGTGCTTGGGGGATCTTTTACTGTCATCAGTGTAGGCCACTTCAAAACGTTGGCTGTGAAGCTGGGATGACACATGCCTTTATTTCTGCATGTGATTTCTGCATGTGATTTCTGCCTGCTTGGGCTGTTTAAGGTTCTAGGGCAATTAAGAACTAAGTGCAGTTAAAAATGGTCTGAAGCAATTTCTAGCATATTCTAGATCTAAACGTCTTTATTAGTTCCAGCACTAAAAGCATTAATTCCATGCTAAAATAGAATAGCAAAAAAGTGTTTGGCATCTTTGGGGTATTTTTTCCTTTTTGGAAGTTAAGGTCTTGGCATATGCATCACTGATATAATTTTCCACCTGAAAAGTAAAGGACTTTGTAATAGGCATGTTTCATGGATTTCTTTCTTAGACTTAGCAGTACAGGCTATGAGTTTGGAAGAGCTCTGCCAGGGGGAGTTCTCTACACTCTGGTGTTTGGGTCCTATGTTCCATAAGGCTCAGCCCTTGCATCCTTACTCAGCCATGTTCTCCTGTTTTTTTGGAGGCTTTTTCACTTTTCACACCCCAGGTCCTTTCAGGAGGTTGGCTAGGGCCTGGGATGACTGTTCTATGTCCATTTCATTTTGAAGAGGTCACCTCTCGCTTGAATTCCTGTTGTTCCTAGCTTGGGAGGTGCTCACCTTGCAGTGAGCTCCGTGTTCACTGTGTCACAAGTGTCACCTATCCTTGGGATGGGCTTCCCCTCATCATTATACAATTTTAACCTGACACATCACAATACTTTTTAGTAGCTGTCCCTGCATGACAAGGAGACAATATCTCTGCAGCTTTGACTGCCAGAAGGCCATTACGTACGTGCATCACACAAGGCATAGCCAGGTTCTCTTCCATATTTATAGCTTCAGGGTAAAGGTTTTAATTTTGTGTGCAGTTTGTTGGCTTTTTCGTTAGCTGATCCCGTTTACTGAAGAATGTAGTTTGAGGAAAATAGGTTTAAAACAGTTCATATACTGAGGGAATTTTGTACAGAGACTGATTGGATGGGTGGAAATGGGCTATTCTGCTAAATCTGTAAATTTTGTTAGATTACATTCCAATAAAATCAGATGTACAAAGAATGGATTTGTTGTTGTCCAACAGGAAACAAAAGAAACCCTTGACTCCAGACTGTACAGTGCAATGTTTTGAAGACTTCTAAATCATACTCGTGTTCTGATTGAAGAATTAATGATTCTGGTTTCTTCCTGGGTGTATTTTGGACCATGTTTCCTTGTCTCTGTATTTTTTTTCTTTCCAGACTGCTGCGGGAGCAATGGATCAGAGCCAAATACGAAAGGAAAGAGTTCATTCACAGTGAGAAGCAGGAGCCTTATTCTGCAGGTAGTGAAAGACACCTTTGGCAAATGAGTTTTTTGATGTCCAGTACCTTCCATTTTTTGGTCTCTGTTTATATGTTCTTTATATTGATTATTGCTTGTATGTCACTAATTAGGAGGAGAAAGTGTGTTCTTTTGGGAGAGATCCCTCCTGGCATTCCGTTTGATTGGGAAACTTAAAACCCAATGGAAATAAATGAGTCTTTCTGTTGACTTCCATGAGCTGTTCACCAACAGCAAGTCAGATAAACTATCAGTGAGTTCAGCTCTGGTAGCAGGAGGCATGAAGCTGGATTGAAATAGAAATAGAAGTGTTTGTCTCATCGAGGTGATTTTTGCTTTGGGAAGATGCAGTAGGATTATTAGCATAGTTTGGTTAATGCTGGAGAAGTGTGCCAGGTCTTCCACAATTCCCAAATCTCTGTTATTCTTTCCACGATACTTCCGAGTGTTGTCAGTGGGACATGGTCTCCTTGTAGTACAACAAATAGACAGTGTTTTCCAATTGCAAAGATTGCAGCATGTGTGACAGAACTTGTTTCAGCACTCCCAACATAGTGAGTAGAATGACAGTGGCCTTGCAAAGGGGTGGCTAGTAGAGCGGTGGATTGGATGATTTTCCTGTAGAAGGGAAGGATCTGAAGAGGAATCATAGGGCTCGACTGTGTTCATTGTGTGGCTGCACCAGGACAAGAACTGGCATGAAACTGCATGAAATTAGCTGGGTATTTCTTTGCTATGTGTTAGTGGCATTTAAATTATTCTGCATATCAAGTAGCTGACACCAGCTATAAGCTTGAACGTCTCTGGGATAATTATATTAGCAAAGACCATGTAACAGATTAAAGGTTAAAATATTATTTCCATGCTACTTTTCAAGAGTAATAATCATAGAATAGTCTAGGTTGGAAAAGACCGTTAAGATTACTAAATCCAACTGTTAGCCCAGCACTGCCAAGTCCAGCACTAGACCATGTCCATAAGTACCACATCTACATGTCTTTTAAATCCCTCCAAGGATGATGACACCACCACTTCCCTGGGCAGCCTGGTCCAGTGCTTGTTAATGAGCAGGTAGCTCCAGCAGTTTGCTGCTTATTGAAACCACAGTTAGAATCTTACCACACGTATTCCCAATTTATGCTTGGAGTATTTCTGCTCTGCTGTTTTGTATACACAAGGCATGCACGTAGTGTGTGTGTGGGTATCCATATTCATACACAGTATGTTATGCACATTTTTATTGTAGATTTTCAAAGTGGTCTGTTAGAGCTGGACATATTCTGTTAACAATAATTTGATTGCTTAGATAATTTTGAAATGTATCTGCCAATACGTGTATAACGCTCACCCAGGAGTAATGTTTCCAATTTCGACTGTGCAACTTCTGGATATAGAAGCTTAGAATCAACTAGATACTTTAGGCAAATGCGTGATTTTAAGCACGATTAGTCCTTTTGACTCTAAGAAGAGTGTGTACCTGGGTAAAGAGAAGTCAGTGCTTCAGTGAGATGTTTCTGTGTGCGCTGGGGCAGTTCTTGAATCGCTCGGGTGAAATGGGAGTTTTTCATCATTGTGTCATACACATTGCTGGACCACCAGTTTGCCCAGCTGGTGTAAACCAGTGCCATTGAAGCTGGTCTGAACCATGCTGTCTGTGAGCCCTCCAAGGCAGGCTGGTGCTTGCTGCTTGCAGAAGCTCAACTACATCACACATCTTCTGCCCTTCTCGCTGCTTGCAGGGGTCACTACGGCTTAGTGGCCTCACCAGTGGCTTGGAGGATGCACCCTGCATGGGGTGGACCTCATGTGCCTGATTATACCAGGCTCAGCATGACTGGGAACCACAGTGGATCTGGGCCATTGCTTTCCACTAATGACCTCCTAAACTGCTTGTGGACCCAACAAGGCGGGACGGACACAGGGGCGTCCTCCTGCCCGCACCACATCCAGTTTGTGTCTCAATGTATCTCTCTCTTTCTAGTGATGTCTTAGACCATTTTTTTCTTGCCATTCTGACTTCCCTGGGGGGGTGTTAGATTACCAGTTTCCAAGCATGAAACATTTTGTTGCTAATAGAGACGTCAGTATCCATTTTCTCATGTTTGTTGGAAGATTTAATTCCATTTTCCAATCCCAGGGGCAATTTTGCATTTAGATATTTATTCCATAATTGCATATATAAAAAAGAAAATGCTATCTTTGAGTAGTTTTGAGCAGTGTTCTTTTCTAGGCAGCCTGATGAAACCCTGGTCAGAAATCCAGTGTCTTTCAGAAAATCCTTTGGGGAGGGACTGTCTGGAGCCTGTAGGTGCCAAGCAGAAGCTATCACAGCCAAACTGACAGACTTAGGAGAAATGAGTCTAGGGACAGGAGTGTCAGATGTGCAGGTCAGAGCTGAGGTAATCATACAGGGAAGTTTGGTAGGAGGATGCGGCAGACTTCAGCTGCTGGTGTAGTATAAATAAGAGGCAGTGTGTGATGCAAAGGCAACAGCAAAAGGTCTTGCGTAGCCCTCAGATAGGAAATGTCTGCCTTGTGAGATACAGAGCAATGCAAGGTAGCAGAACCAGAACTGGAAAACAAAGACAGTTTGCATGTGCAGAAATCCCCGGTGTGGGCAGTGATGAGCGTTGAAGCCAGCTCTTGAGCCTCACTCTAGAGTGGAGCCGTGACTGTAGATCCATGGGTCTTGGCTCTGTCCCTGCATCTGATGTTCCCTCTCAGGTATGTGCTGTTACACATTGTTGTGGTTTAAACTCAGTCAGCCATGCAGTCTCTCTCTCACTCCCCCACTTCTCCCCCTACTCCTGGAGGGATGGGGAGGAGAATCGAAAGAATGCAACTCCCACAGGTTGAGGTAGGAACAGTTCAGTAACTAAGGTATAACACAAACCACTGCTGCTACCACCAATAATGATAACGAGAAGGGAAATAACAAGGGAAGAGAATACAACCACTCACCACCCACCGACCGATACCCAGCCTGACCCGAGCAGTGATCCCACCCTTCCAGGTAACTGCCCCCAGTTTATATAGTGGGCATGACGTGCTGTGGTATGGAATACCTCTTTGGTTAGTTTGGGTCAGGTGTCCTGTCTCTGCTTCCTCCCAGCTTCCCCTCCTCCCTGGCAGAGCATGAGACTCAAAAAGTCCTTGGTCAGAGTAAACATTACTGAGCAGCAACTAAAAACATCGGTGTTATCAGCGCTGTTCCCAGGCTGAAGGTCAAAACCACAGCACTGCACCAGCTACTAAGAGGGAGAAAAAATGACTGCTGCTGCTGAACCCAGGACACACATCTAGTCACAGCCACTTATCCTCAGTAGATGATTGCAGTGGAAATTCCTGTAAGGGAATTTTTAGAGAGTTTCTTGCTCCCCCAGGAAGCCTTGGAGCACAAAACCATGTGCCCTGTTCACAGCTTTCAGCTCCTCTGCCCCCAATTAGACTCTGATGGTTTCATTCCTCCGAAAGAGGCATTGTTAATGAGTATATTAGAACCATTGATTTTATTGTGAGTGGTCGGTTTGAGTTCAGATAGTGCAAGGCGATTAGATAAACAGTGATTAAATGTTTCAGTGATCCACTATTAATTCTTAGATACACCCTTTTATACATCTGAGCTCTTAATTCTGCTGTAGTACAAGCACTAAATAATTTGTTTGCCCTAGCCAGACTTTATGAAACAAAACATTATTTACACCCCAGCAACCCCAAATGACACTATGGTCCACGTCCCTTCCACTAGCAATACAGGTGTTGCGCCACAGCACAGAATAATACCAGTTTTAAGACCCTCACAAGAACGTGTTTCAGATTGGCTTTGTCCCTTCTGTTGAATGAACTGGCTAAACTACTGTCAGTCACCAGCTAAGGATCCCTTTTAACAGAGTTTAATGGGGCACAGGTGCTGAATTCTCCAAGAGAGAGAGGATGGTGGTACCTGCTGTCAAAGTCTGGATCTGAGTCTCAAGGCAATCTAAAGGCTTGATAGTTTTTAAAAAGGTTTTGATCAGTTTTATAAAGCTTTTTAAAGGGCATTTTTCCCTGCTGTTAAGAGGCAGCAGTTACAGCAATGCTTCCCTGAAGTCCTGCTGAAAGTCAATTCATTTGGGTGCTTTTGATTCCTCTTGATCAAATGGTTTTATTTTAAGCATGGGAGGCATGGAGGAAGCAAAAAGGAGCACTATTTGCAGGGCTGAAGCACTATAATACTATAAACTGGTCAAGGTGCAGCTGCCCTAATGCATCTCAGGCCACAGATGAGAAGAGAATGGGATGTGCATGTGGCCAGGAGAGAGCAAAAGGGAGTCGTTAGCTCCTTGAACTTGGCTTTGGCTTCTGATGGACCCATCCTGTTACTGCCGGGGTGCCAGGAGTAATTAGTGCCCTGGGATGAGCTGAAGTCCAACCTGGGACTGTCTTGGGCAGGATAGCACATCTTCGTGTCTTTGCTGTAACATTTGCAAATCAGGTGGGGGAACTCTTAGCACTTGGTGTTTAATCTCTCAATGCTTGTCAGGAAAAATGTCTTGGCTTCACCATTAGGACCTGGAAGCACCTATCCAAAGATGGAGGTGGCTGGTACCATCAAAGAGGCCTCATGGGTATCTCTAGCAGCAGAGATGCTGGGCTGTGCAAAGCAGTTGCCACCCTTTCCTTGGTGAGATAGTTCAGCAATGATTTGTATGCTCTTACACCAGGGTGTAGGTGCTTTCCAGCACAATGTGCTTTCCAACAAGCACAGGGTAAGCTGGGTGCAAACAGCATCATAAAGTGCAGCTTTTTGCAACTTCGCTGCCAGTGCTGCCTTGTGTTTCCTATAAATAGACCAGTAAGTCCTGTTGCTGTTAAATTTATCAGATGGTGGAAGAGCAGTTAAGAACAGGAGAAGAGTCACAGTAGAATACAGCTGATGAAAAAAGTCTGCTACCAGCTCTGCAGGCCGAATGATTCCCTTGCAATAGGACTGGGGAACAGCAGTTTTCCCTTGCTCACAGC